CATAATTCCTCAGTTTCCCCATACGAGTTTAATTGGCAGACAATATGCATTCCTGGCAGTGCCTCTATTCTTTAATCTCTGAATTGGGAACTCCACACAATTCCGGAAAATATTTTGCTGTGATAAATTCCAGCACTTGTTTTGTGCTCCCACTTCCAAGAGCTTCTATCTGACAAAGCTTTACAATGGTATAAGGAAGCCTTTTTTACCCTTCTTTTGAAAATTATCATGATAACAGAGTGTTTTATTAAAAAAAAAAAAGAACAAATATTGTTCAGGGTTGTTTCATGCACACAATTTTCCTTCCAGAAGCCAATGTTATCACAGAATAATTTCCTTGGCAGCAACGTTTCTCACCTCCTCTCCAATCTCTCCAAAACTCTTCAATTGCCTTGTTTTTACATTTCCTCAATAAAATTCTCAAAATGTCAATTCTCCCAGCCATTCATGCTCCAAAAGGATTTCCCCCATTAATACAGATACATGTACTATATGTCCACTAAACAACCATGTTGGGACTAAAATAACTTCTAATTATGATAGTGTTCCACACAGACAAATATCAATATTTCCTGATGCCCCCTATAATAATTGCATTATGATTCGTTAGTCTAATTACTATTACTGGAACCAGTGCTTACTTTGTTTTTTCATAATCCGAGAGAGTTATTAGTTTAATGGCACCAAGAAAGTTCTGTTAGCATATTTCCTAACTAGGTCAATAGTTTTGACAGCTACTGAAAAAAAATGTTAGCTATTTCCTAGAGGTGAGATAATATCAGGGCTATTAAAGACACCGTTAACACTGTAAGTACCAGAGTGGATACAAGTAAGAGCAGACCATCTCATTTGGAAGTTCATTAAAACTTACAATCAATTAATTAAAACTTGTTAAACTTCTTCAGGATAAAACAGAATTTGTAAAATCTCACTCTTGATGGGTCAATTTATATGTGATTGGAATTCCAGAGGAAACTTGCACAAAGTTCTCCTTTATGAAACAGGAAAGTACTGGCTTTGCCTGAAGACTTTCAGGTAAATAGTGAGAGGATTTTCTGCATTCCAACTTCTTTTTTTCATACAACTGATAAGCCTCAGCCAATCTTTAGCAAATTCATTGTATTTTCCTGGAAGAATGATTTTTTTTTTTTACAGAAACCCCAACCTTCAAGAATAGGATGATAAAAAAAAATCTCATAATGTTTTGCTAATTATGTCAAAAAAGTTCAAGAAAACAGTAAGATGTCCAACATAGCAACAAGTATTGTCCGAGAGAAGATGCTTCAATAATTTCATCAAGATTCCAGTCATCTTTATGTTGTTATTTGCAAATGGTCCTGAGAATTCATTTCATAATTATGAAGCTAAAAAATGTCTTACCTCTTGATGCTCCTGTTGAAGGAGAAGGATCTAAAAATGCATGTTTCTATATGTTTCATGTATCCAGGCTATTACACTTCTTTATCTCTTGCTCTTGCTCTTAATTAAACATTTGTTTGTTATCTTTATCTCCATCTCTATCTCTATATCCTTGGCTACAGGGAAAGAGTAAGAATTATAGTTTCTTTTAAAATTATTTCTTTTTCCTTCATTTTTCTCCTTTTCTAAATCTGCCCTCATGAATGATACCTATATTTCAGCATGTAAGAACAGTGAAGCTGAAATGTTTGTGAACCCTTTTGAGTATTTCTGCCTTAATATGACCTGTTCTCCACCCAAGTCCAAAAACTATATAGAGAACACAATTAAACAAATGAGTAAAAACAAATGAGTAAAAACGTACATTTGCTCATTTAATTATTGAGCAAATGACCCAAAGCTACAAATTTGTATGTAGCCAAAGTATGTGAACCTCTAGAATTATCAGTTCATTTGAAGGGAAAATTAGAGTCAGGTGTTTCAATCAATAGGATGGTAATCAGGAGTGAGTGTGAGAGATCTTGTCTTATTTCAAGAACAGAATTCTGAGAATTTACTGTCAAATTTGATATTTACCACACAGGTATTTGAAAGTATGTCATGGATTGAATGAAGATAATTTCTGAGGAACTCAGAAATTACTGATGCTCATCATGCTGGAAAGAGTTATAAAACTATTTCCAATGAGTTTACTCTTTACCAGCCCTTTGTTAGGCAGATTGAGTAACAAATGGAGACAATTCAAAATCATTGTTATCCTCCTCAGTCAAGCAAGCAAGGTCACACCAAGAGTGTGATGTGTAATATTTCAAGAGATCTCAAAGAATCCCATGACAATGTCTAAGGAACTAAAGAACTGTCTTGCACTGGTGAATGACATTGTTCACAAGATGTAAGAGGAAGGCCATACTCTCCAAAAAGAACATTGCTGCCAATCTACAGTTTGCCAAAGACCACACAGATAAGGAAGAAGGCTACTAGAATAATGTTCTGTGGATAGATGAAACCAGAGTAGAACCTTTTGGCTTGAACAAAAAGTGTTCTATTTGTTGAAAAACAAAACTGCATTCCAGCATAAGAACCTTATTCCATTTGTGAGCCTGCTTTATTGCCTTTGGACAGGGATGGCTTGCCATCATTGTCAGATGATCTGTCCAGGAACTGAAGCTTGAGAAAGTGGGTCATGCAGCAAGACAACCCAAAACACACATGAATGACCTAAGAACGGTTCTATCAGAAGTTGATTTTGGGGGAAGTCCTGACTTTAATCTTAGAAAAATGTTATGGGAGGACCCAAAATAAGTAGTTAATGCAAGGAAACTCACCAACATCCTTAAATTGTTCTGTAAGGAGGAAAAGGCTACAATTCTCCAAGACTTTGTGCTGGGCTGATCAACAGTCATTGGAAACACATAGTTGTACTTATTGCTGGGGACAGGGCACACCAGCAATTGAAAACACTTTTTGCCACACACAAATGTATAGCTTGTTTTTTATTCATTTTTATGCAGAAATATTGAAAATTCAAAAGAGTTCCCAAACTTTTAAGCACCACTTTAGAACTTTCTGTCCCCATTAGATCATGTAACACTGTATTAATATTATCAATTATTGATTTAATTATTAATTTATGTAGAAAATAGCAGCTTATGTTGTACAATGTTTAACTACCACAAGGTGGGATTAAAAGCTTTTATTTTTAATTTTACCACTAAATTTTGGATAACTTTATCATTTTGGGAAAGGTATTTTGGTCTATATGGTTCATGTATATAATATGCATATACAAGCATATAATATTATAGCTAATATAGCCCTCTTTAGTAATATGGAATATTAAGTACAGGTAGTCCTTGACTTATAACCATTTGTCTGATCACCATTCAGAGTTACAATGGCACTGAAAAAAGTGACTTATAGGCCGGTTTACACATTTATAACAATTGTAACCATTGTCATATGATCAAAATTCAAGTGCATTGCAACTAGCATGTATTTATGGCAGTTGCATGTGTTTACCATCTGTAACCTTCCCAGACAGCTTCTGACAAGCAAAGTCAGTAAGGGAAGCCGGATTCATTTAACAACTACAGTGGTTTGCTTAACAACTGTGGCAAAAAGGTCATTAAATGAGGCACAACTCATTTAACAACTGCCTTGCTTACCAATGCAAATTTTGGACTCTATAAGTCGAGAACTATCTGTATCATTCAAATTTTAAAAGATGGGAACTATATTTGAGCTGCTTTGCACCAGGCCCGTATTTTCTCTAAAGAAAAATAACTTTTATAAGGAGACTTGGGGAGAGAGATGCATATAAATGGCAATTCTAAACATACAAAAGAGTTAACTCTTGAGAAGAAGACACTACTCTGAAGAAATAAGCAGGGCTTTTTTTTTTGTCATAGAACGCCCAGAACAGAGTTCCGGCACCATTTTTGGATGGAATCTTGTAGGGTAGGCAAGGCGGGTTGTATGACATTTGTAAGTTCCGACACCTTTTTTTTTTTTTTTTTTTTTTTTTACAAAAAAAGCACTGAGTCTATGACTTGGATCCTTCTGAACTCCTAGAACATTCTATCTTGCATTCATTAGAGGCATTTTTTTTAATCATGTGATTCCATTTAATTGCTTTTAACTTGTATCATGGATATTTTCAGTGTTGTTCTCTATTGTATAAGCTGCTAAGAGTTTGTTTTGATTGGAGTAGGATATACATTTTATAGATAAATAATAATTTCTATTTAAAAGTATTGCTCAAAGCATTTAATATTATCCAACTAAGAAAGTTATATTTTCAAGACCCATCCAAATATTTGAATGTCAGATAGCATATTACTTCTAAAAGTTATATCATTTGTAATGTTATTCATGATAAGATGCAGGACAAGGCTATGTATTTGTGCATGCACATGAATGAATGTATACGTTTCCCAAACAGCACACATAATTTTGTAGTATGGATCACAGGGTCATGAAGCTGCTTCAAGGGTATTTGCCAGTGGAGTGGTATATAAATTTAACAATTAATTAAATATCATTTACAGATCTATGAAAATGACATTCTTCCCACACACAAAAATATAAGTATGTCCTTCAAGTAGTTACATAATAGTCTGTTTGACATTTCAGCATACACGACAGCAGAAAATATACTAAGCTAAGCTCAGACAGAATTTAATTTTGGGTCAATTTGTTTTTGAATGTTTTAATTATTGTTCCATGACAGAAAATAAAATGCTCCAATGGTGGCTGAAACATATCTGCATTTATATACAGTACTATGGTGCTTACTAAGCAATATACTACTCAGATCAAATTTTCTTAATGATGAAAATTTCCAAACAATCATTTCCATTCTGGATATGTAGTCAGACATCGTATGAAAGTTTATTACTATCCTAAACATTTGAAACCTATTAGTAAATCATAAATACTTCATTTGCCAGCAAGCATATGATAACTTTGCTGACACAGTTGCCAACAAGCATGTGGCGATTTATAGCCAATTATATATTAGATATTTAAGGTATTATGCTATAAATAATACAGAAGTCATTTACTAATGAATACTGACTTACCTTCAATCTTTTTTAAAGCTGACAGGCAAGTATCCCGGCTTGGAAACTCAAAGGGATTACTACAGGTCCTAATAGTATCACATTCGCATTTTCCATTGATTATATTGCAGCCTGTTATGAGGTTTTCATTGCAAGGCTCAAATCCAAGTAGCTGATCATCCCAGTTTTCATCTAAAAACCAAAATGAAACAACTATAATACTGGTAACTTATTGATTTGTTTTATTTAATTCTTTTTTTTTGCGAAATACTGTACCAAAGCATCTCAATACAAATATTAAACTCATTTTTAAAGCTCCTATTACAAGATTCTATAACCGCATATCCCAGTTCACATTATTATCATTGCACCACATTTAAAAAGAAATGTGAACTTGGACTCTTCCAATTAACATCAAAATTTGAGAACTCTGGGTGTCTTATTTAAAAACCGCATTCCTAACACTTGTAACAGAATAGAAAATACAAAAATCCAAAACATTCTGGGGACTACTGTATTATAAAATGTAGCAATCAAGTCATCTCAACTGAATAAGAAGTTGCTATTGTTCCAGATATTTTATAATCCTATTCCCTGTGAAAGAGGTCTAGATGGTTTTAATGGAAGTGTTTTCAAGACAATGCTATCATTTCAATCAACTTATAATTCAATAAACCAGCAGTCATTCTCTGACATTCTGACCTCCAGGTAAATTAAAATAGATAATAAATTTGAATCTGCCACCTCAGTTATGGACCCTGAAGCAATATCAGCTGCTCACTCACTTGAATTCCTTATCTAGCGTTGATATAATTTTTCCCCCAGTGATCCCTCAAATCAAAGATGAAAAGAAATCTTACAAACAATATGGAGTTACTATTACAAAAGGCATCTGTATCAGGATTAGAAGCTACCATAACATTCATTAAAACTAAAACGTTGTAAACAGCCAAATTTAATTGTGATTAAACCAGGTAGGTTTTGATACAATTGGAAACAACCTCAAGTGAGAGCTAGAAACTCATAAATTCCTAATTCTCATTTTCTACTATAGGAAACCAACAAAGGTCTGTACTTTTTACCTAAGTAGGATTGGATACTATCCACAGAATAAATAGACTCTTTGGAGGATAAGGTGCTTTCCTCTCTTCAGAAGAATAAGTAGAAGGGTTTGGGAAATTTAAATTAGAATAAAAAAAACAATTCCATAGCTTTGTCTGTGGACTTAGTAGCTGATTCTGCAGAAATAACTATCTGAAGGCATGAAGTCTACCGAAATTCAGACAGTCACATTTTTTTTAATGCAAAAGGAACCATTATTTGGGTGGACAGTCGAAAATAAAAATTCAGTAATTCCCTTCTCTAAATCGTTGGATGCACAAATCATACATAGAACACTCATACGATAGCTGCCAATTGGTAGGGAACTACAAAATTATAGCATATTATGTTTGGTGCCATATTCATACAGGCTGTCCTTGACTTACAACAGTTTATTTAGTGACCATTCAAAGTTACAATGGTACTGAAATATGTGACTTATGAGTTTTTCACAGTTATGACCTTTGCAGAATCCCCAAGACCATGTGATTAAAATTCAGATGCTTGGCAACTTGTTCACATTTATGACCGTTGATGTGTCCCAAAGTCATATGATCACCTTTGGCGATCTTCTCACAAGCAAAGTCAATGGGGAAGCCAGGTTCATTTAACAACTAGGTTACTAGCTTATCAACTGTAGTGATTCATTTAACAACTGTGGCAAGAAAAGTTGTAAAATGAGGCAAAACTCATTTAAGAAATGTCTCACTTAATAACAGAAATTTTGGGCTCAATTGTGGTCATACGTTGATGACTACCTGCATATGTCTGAAGCAAGTGATCCCATCAGTCTAAAGAGCTGGTAATCTAGAACCAGCTTCTGACCAATATAATAAGTGATATGTAATGGAATTCAAAAGAGCCATCCTATGAATCCGAAGTTGCTCTATCCATGTCTTTCTTTGGATCTTGCCTCTGCTTCTGGGAAGCCAGAGATTAAAAGGATAACTCATGCTCTAGTTTGCCTGACTTTCCAGGTTCTAGGAGGATTGATGCTGCCTTTTAAGTACAGAAGATGGGAGATGAGATACTGTCCTCTTAATGATCCTGGCTGCTTCTATGCGTCCAGATCTATTCTGCCATGTAGGCAAATTACACATATTTTTATTACTAGTTTTATATTATTAAATTTGCTTGCTGACCATCTTGCTTTGAAGCAGTAGATATATGTAAATCTATCACCATTTCAAAATGATTATACCAACATATTTTACCTTCTGCATTGATCTAGAACTGCCTGAATTGTAAATTTTTACCAACTTCTTAGCTGCAAAATCTACTTTTCCTTCTTACCCATAATGTTGCCCCCTTTTCCATTCAAACTTCTAGAGCTGCAGATTAGATTTTCTTCTTGTGTCAGCTGCTTCAAGATGGAGAGTTCATCAGGTAATTCCAAATCTAAAGAGTGCCTCTTCCAATCCCAGACATTTAATGTTAATTGCTCTCTCCTGTACAAAGATTCTCACTAACTCCAAACTCAAAACACAGGGCTCCCATCCCCCTTAGCAAATGGCAGTTCTGGCAGTTGGAGCATCCCTGTGATAAGTGCATTCACACATGCTCGATTTGCATGAGCGGTGGGCCTGTGTGCATGCTGCTTGCACAAATGGAGCTGTGCATGCTTGCTGGCTGCTCACACACAACCATCACCTCTCTCCACCCCCTCTTGTCAGTCCGCAAAGCTGGAAAGTTTGGGGAACTCTGCACTAAAATGTTTAAAAATATTAAAATGGTATTATAGAAGTAAAATATTAGGAACCTTTGATAAAATATTCTCTCTGTTTAGCAACAGCCCATATAAAACTTGCTAATTTCCATAGTACTGTTTTCTTATCTAAATTAATTAGATATTCAATTTCATATGAACCATGTTGAAATGATTTTTGTATCAAGAGGAGCTCCAGAATTTTCTACATGCTGAAGTGGAAATAGGGTAGTACAATAAATAATGTGTAAAATCTTCTATAATTTCTTTGGAGCAAGGAAAGTGGAATATGTGTTGGAAGCTCATATGGGATATTAAGAAATTGACCCTCTCTATTTGCTGACACAATTTACTGGAACATAGTCTTGTAAGCGTCTCTTGAAAGGATGACACTAAAACAAATTTGAGATAATGTTTGCATTTGATTTTGGTTTTATTAAGTACATATCAATAAGCACTTAATTTTGTATGATAATGTAAACAATTTGGTAGGGGGAGCAATGGTGTCCAGCACCTTTTCTAAAAATAATACATTATAATCAGCATTATTTGAATTTTAAAAGAATTCTGAGAAAAACCAAAAGAATGCAAATGATTGGATAAAAATATAAACCAACTAGCGCAGGAAGGAAAAAATTCATTTGCTCCAGGAGGCATCAGGTAGTGAGAGAAATCTAGCCCAATAATTAAATGTCCTTAACAATTGTTCTAACTTTAATTATGCATCTACCAATTTCAGCATAGAGAAAGGGGGTAGGAGTACCATTAGGTACATCTAAAATAGTTCTGAGGAGCTTGATTTGAAAGAATTACATATTATAAAGAGGTAGAAATTTTCATAATTCCACTGCTTATGAAAAGTAAGGAACTAACTTGTTTTTTTTAGAAAAGTTAGGATTGGAGAAGTATGTTGACCTCTATTGTAAGCCAGAATTTTATTATTCCTGACAAAGCTTTCTCTGTTTTTATTTTGGGGGCCTGATAATGAGAGTGTCAACTATCTGAAGCATTGAAAACAATATCCAAGTATCTATAAGATATTATCTTCCTTAAAGTTCCAGAACTGGCAAAAGTATTAGAAATCAGAATCTAGTGAATGTAGAAGAGAGTTCATTCATTCATTGTTCATTTAGAACTTGTTCAAACATTGATTTTGTTTCTTAAATCTGTCTTGTTTATAGAATGATACAATATAACCTGTCCTTGAACTTTAAGCAGTTATAGCACTCCTGTGGTCATATGATTATGATTTGGGTGCTTGGCAACCAAATCATACTTAAAATGGTTGCAATGCCCTGCGGACACAGGATCACCATTTGCGACCTTTCCTACTGGCTTCCAATTAAGTTTGATTGTAGGGACGTTGGTTGCCAAGCACCCTAATGGTGATCATATGTTCTGCTGCTCGTGGGGATTCGGGTGCACACACCATTTCTGATGCCTGGTTGCAAACATCTCACGGCTCATTAATGGGTCAGGGTCCAGAAGTTGGGGACCCCTGTTTTAGTGTATTTTATTAATGTTTGGTCACTTCTGTGCAGGTTCTATCTATTTGTTAAGACCAGTGGTGAAAACAATAAATAAAACTGTTGATTGATTGATTGACTTAGTAAGTGGTAAAGGAACAGATTAATTGTTCATAAACATTCTGACTATCCCAATTCAATTCTATTCCCTTTTGATAAAATTCTGATCCAGAGAGCCATGACCAGATGAATGCAGACAAAAATCCAACACAAACTGCTCAATGCACTAAACAGTAGGTTTGGATTGCTTTGTGCCTGAATCAAAAGCATGCGTGTTTTGCGGTTGTTTTGATCCAGTCCAAAGTGATTCAGAGATGAGCAGAGAAGTAGCCAAGAATATTGGTAGCTGCTGGACATCTAGGAGAGAAGGTATGAGATCAGGAACAGGTGGCCTGCTAGAGTATGCTACACAGAGAGACTGGAGCAGAGTTGATACTGCTATACTGCTTACTATACTGCTTAGCAACAGCAATTTTGGCAATTCCAGGTTATCAGTGTTATGCAAATCACTGGGGGTCATTAAACTTCATGTGATTGTAACGTCTGACTTCCTATTAGTCTCCTCATTGACTTTGCTTGGGGAAAACTGGCAGAGGACATAAGAAATTGTGATCACATGACTGTGACAATACAAAGCAGTTGGAACTTGGAGGACTTTTGTAAGTACTTTTTCACTGCTGTCACAAATTCAAATGGTTACTGAATATGTTATTAAATGAAGACCACCTGTATGCACAGGATTGGACTCTAAAAGTTTATTTCACTTCAACTATTTCTGTCTGTTGCATTTTGTCTATTGGTAAGCAGTAAATAAGTAAATAAAATAATACTTTAAAAACTAAGTGCAATTAAAGCATGTT